GGTCTTAGGATCTCTGTGCCAAGGTCCACGGGCAGATACCAATATATATGTCCTATTATTTCACACCTCTGTTATTGATTTCTAGTTTTAACGCACTGCGGTGGGAAAAGATACATGGTATGATTTCAGTCATCTTAAATGTCTGAAGACCTGTTTTTGGACCTAATATGTGATCACTCCTGGAAAGTGTTCCCTGTGCACTCAAGAAGAATATGTATTCTGCTGCTGTTGGGTAGAATATTCTGTATTGTCTTTCAGATCTGTTTGACCTATAGTGTTGCTCATGTCCAGATTTTCTGTTGATTTTCTGTCTGGACGTTCTATCCATAATTGAGAGTAGGGTATTAAATTCTCCTACTATTCTTGTATGGTTGTCTATTTCTCCCTTTAGTTTTGTCTATGTTTACATGATATAGTTAGATGCCCTGACCTTCTGTGCATAAGTATTTATAACTGTTAAAACTTCTTGATGAATTGACCCTTTCATCAGTATATAATGACCTTCTTTGTCTCTTATGATAGTTGTTGACTTAACATCTATTTTATTCTGAAATAAGTATTGCCAATCCTGCTTTCTTTTGGTTACTAGTGGCATAGAATATCTTTTTCCATCCCCTCACTTTCAGCCTTAAATATAAAATGAATTTCTTGTAGACAGCGTTTGGTTGAATCTTTTTTTTTTTTTTTTATCCATTCAGCCACACTATGTCTTTTGATTGGAGAGTTTAATCCATTTAGGGTTGAAAGTAATTATTGATATTGAAAAACATATTATTGCTATTATCTTCCTTGTTTTCCTTCTGATTGTCATTGTTTTGTTCATCTCTACCTCTCTTGTGGTTCTTCATTGGGATTCATTGATTTTTTGCAGTAATTTGCTTTGTTTCCCTTTTCTTTTTCTTTTTCGAATCTTCTGTAAATATTTTCTTTGTGGTTACCATGTAACTTACAAAAAGCATATTTTAGTTATAACATCCTGTTTGAACCTCATAACAACTCTATTTTAATTGCATAGATAAACTCTTCACTTTTCCTTCTACTGCCTCACACTTTATACTATGGATGTCTCATTTTACCTTTTTTTACATTGTGTATCCCTTAACTTATTTTTGTATTTATACTTATTTTTAGTACTATTGTCTTTTAAATTTTATACTAGAATTAAAGTGATTCACACATGACCATTACAGTATTACAATATTCTATATTTGTCTATATATTTACTTTTACCCATGACTTTATACTTTCAAATGCTTTTGTGTTGCTCTTTAGCATCTTATTGTTTCTACATGAAAAATTGTATTTAGCCTTATTTGTAAGGTAGATTGAGAGTGATGAAATCCCTCAGCTTTTGTTTTTCTGGGAAGGTCTTTATCATTTATATTTCGTAAGGCTTTTAAACTTTAGTTTGAGAACAATGTTAAAGAACTGAATGGTTTGAAGCAGGGACTTGAAAAGGGCTGTCCTCCAGTACATATTGGTTTTAAACCTTTTCGTTTTTAAATTTGAAGTTCATTTTGTATAGTTTCCCATCTTTGCCCATATGATCATTAAGGTGTGTCTACTCTTCCATCACATGGCTGTTGAAATTATATGTACACAGAAGTAAAATTCTTTGTGCATATTGTTACCAATTTTCTTGTGATAATTTCTTAAAAGTAGAATTGTTGAATCTTGCCCTTTATTTTTTAAGGGTAGTTTTGATGGGTATGGTATCCTTGATTGGCTGTATTTCCTTTCAGCACTTTGAATATATCATCCCACTATATCATCCCACTCTCTTCTGGTCTGCAAGGTTTCTGCTGAAACATCCACTGATAGTCTTATGGGACGTGTGTGATGAGTTGCTTTTCAACTGGTAGTTTCAAAATTCTCTTTGTTTTTGATTTTGACAATCTGATCATAAGGTGTCTCAGTGTAGATTTCTTCAGTTCATGTGAGTGGGCTTCTTTGGGCTTCATGAATCTGGATGTCCATTTCCCTCCCCAGATTTGGGACGATAACAGCCATTATACCTTTAATGAAATTTCTACCCAGAGTACTCTCAGAGTACTAGGCCTGCACACTGTCATTCAGTGGTCTGTAGACCACCAACCAAAACCTGAAGCTAAGGGCGAGTCCCTGGAGTAATAACTTTGTCAGTGTTCATGCTCTCCATGGATCTCCTCACACAATCAGTGCTGGGCTCAGGATCCATTGCCCACCAGTGTCCCTTGAGCTGAGGCACTGTTCCAGACCTCTGACTCCACAACACTTCATCTCATCTTGATTCAGGTCCTCAGATACATCCATGCCCGTGACAGGGAATTTTCATTCCACTAGGGAATTTCCAGTGGGATATACGTTCCCCTAAACAATGTGCAGAGGTAATCTCCTCCTTCCATCAGGACACTGAACATCGCTGTGAACGTTCACTTTTTCCCCACTTGAGTCTTGACTAGATTGGGCTTTTCCCTGGGAAATTCAAAAGTCATCATTGACAACTCCACTAAACAAACTGGCATCTCTCTGTTTTCCCCACCTGAGTCACTTTGGAGTCATATGCACCCTCTCCCCTCACTGAGCCAACACTCCAGTGGTCAGCAATGAGTTTCCCAGTGGTCTTTAGGTAGAGGCTTGGTTGGGCAGCTTATGCCTCAAAGATCCTTTTCAGACTTTCTCATCACCCTCATGCTACTTTGAATCCTTTCTCTGGAATGTTCATTCCCTGGGCAGTTTTGGGAGCATTCAGCTACATTGCCTTACTTGGTGTTAGGGTCCATTTTCAACTGAATGGATCTGACATATTTGACTATGGGAACTACCTCGGAGACAACCTTCTTATTTTTGGACCCTCAGCCACCTGCCACTTGGCACAGGCATTCTGGAGCTGCTGATTCCCTTTGTGCCTGTCTCCAATATTTCTTTCAACACTCCAATCTGCCTGACACTTTGGCAGTTGCTGGTGCTCTCAAAGCAATCTACCTTCATTCACTTCAGCTCTGAATAGTGATGTAGGTATAAGCCCCTCCGACTGACACTCTCCACTTATATCATCAGATGAGTGGTGCCACCAGGAAACACATGCTCAGGTGCTCTCACTCCCCTGGTGGAGCTCAGTGATGTCCTGAGGCAGATGGAGGCCAAAGTGGTCAAAGTGCTGAGACTAAGGATGAGGAAGGGGCTTTCCCGGGCCTGCCAGATGTAAACATTTATATCCAATTCTGCACTCCTGGGAAGATATCTCCTTGGAACTGACATTGCTCAGCATCCTGAGGCCTTTCTTCCCTGCTAAACCGGTGACCAGTCCACTAGAGAGTGGGAATTTGAGTGACTACAGTCATGTTTCTCCTTCTGAGTCCCCCATCACAGGGCCATACATAGCCATCTGCTGCTCCATCAAAATGTCCACTCCTCATTGGGAAAATATCCACACCCCTCCTCACATGGGCCAGGGCCCATCGCTGAGCAGATGCGAACTGCTATATATCCTATTGTCCATCTTCAGTTCCTGGATGTGATCTATTCTTTTTCCTTTCATCTTGGGGTCCAAGAAAGAGAGGGTGGACTGAGGCCCCATTTCTGGGGAACAGCGAGATCCAACATCTCTTCCTTCCCCAATGGGGATGTACCAGAAGCAGCAAGAACTAAGCATGGCCCATGAATTCTTAATAAGTAACAATGTGTATTTGTGTGTGTGTGTGTGTACGTATAATATGTGAGATCTCTTAAGATGTGGGTCCCGGGAAAGGGTCCATTTGCCTGGGCCTAATGGTGTCACAGATCCTGAGGTGTTTTGGAGAAGGGTGGTGGGAGTGTCAAAACATTATGAGTTTTGGGAATCACATACTTTTGACTACTTGTATGAAAAAAATATATTAAATATTATATCTTACAACACCACTGTTATAAAGATGAATATACCTCACACTGGTTCTTTGGTATATCTTCATTAATACCATAGTCACTTTTGGTTAATATTTTTAGAGAATTTACAACATTTTTGTGATACCCTGAAGGTATTGTGTGCCTAATTCCCTGTACGTGTTATGCCTGGTGGAAGAGCCAGCCCTGGTGGGAGCTGAATTGTCCTGAGAAAGGGTGAGGGGTCTTCCTGGGTGATAGGACAGCCCAGGAAGGAAGAGGGTCCTGCTGAGATGTGAGCAGAAAGGGTGGCACTAACTTATCACTGGTGACAGGATTGTGGGGACCAATAAAATAAGGAGAGCTCAGGTTCAATGACAACTCAGTTGCTTTGCTTTATTCCTACAGAACACACACCTTTCCTTCAACATTCATTGCTTTGCAGGTCAGTGTGGGAATGAGCAAATGGACCACATTGCCACTTGCAGGGACAGGTCTAGAAGGCATCACACAATTTAAGGGAGCACCAAAAATCTCAATAATTAGGGTAAATAACATGTTAATAAAAGATTTTTAAAAATAAAATTTGATGCCATATATCAAATTTTAAAATCAAGACCGGATTTATCCCTGCTTTGCAGGAGTCACCTCCCTGCTGCCTCTAGTCCCAGCCCTGTACTCTTGGATCAGGGCAGAGGGAGCTAAGAGAGGAGCCTCACCCTGGTGCTCAGGGCTCAGAGTGGAGATGAAGCCTGCAGTGGATCAGGAACCTGAGCAGGACCCAACCAGCAGAACCTCAGCGCCCGAGGATGTCAGAATTAGTCCCAGGGGCGATGGGGTGATAAGGAAGGAAAGTCACTTTTCTAGAGAGAGGGTCAAGGTCAGGCTACAGATGGGAAGGAACAAGGGCTTTTCAGATTCTTCTATCCTTCACAGACAAGTTCTTAATGAATAATTGTGTGTGCGTGTGTGTGCGCGCGTGAGCACACGCATGTGTGATATACGAGGCTCTCTGAAGCCTCCATTTTAATCAGATAACAAAAAAAGAACTTTAGGATTGCAGATACTTTATTGAAATGAAAATGTAAATGAGGTTTCAACAATTGTTTTACAGTTTGTAGATCAAAAGACAAAAAAGAAAGAAAAATTGTGATTTATAGCAATCGGCAGTCGGTTTCTGACCATTCTCTGTAGTTCTCTGAGCCAAGGGTCTTGTGGAAAGTTAAAACGGAGCACACCAAACACTATTGTAAATTATATGCTGGAAAACAAACACAGAGACATCACTTAGATATTCACTTCTCTCTTACAAAGTAAAATTCTGAAAAACAAACATTTCTTCTCATTGTTTTCCTGGGTTTGTCCACACACATCTGACATCCAAGAAAGTTAATACTGGAAGTAGCACTAACTATGAAGAAGGGGATCTTTTTTGCTGATTGCTCCTGCAAATGAGGGGCTTCTTGAGAATCAGATGTTTTTTACTTTGATAGAAAGCGTGTGTGTGTGTACGTGTGTGTGTGTGTGTGTGTGAGTGTGTGAGAGAGAGAAGTGGGGAGCTGAGAGTTAGGTAAGAGTTTTCCTGAGCGATCTTTTCCCTCTTTGTCTTTTTCATTTATTATTCACTAAAGATTTGACAAAGTGAAGAGGCGAATCAGCACTGGGGCCTTGATGGCTTTCTTGGTGTCAAAGTCGTCCGACTCACCAACAATTAAATTCACTGAGATAAAATAAGGCATGTTCACCATTGATTTGGCACAATTAGTGACAACTTAGAGTCTGCTTCCCCCGTCCAGTGGTTTAAAAGCTAGTAAGAAAAAACTGAAATTACCATCATCTCTCTGAAATTGGTCAGAGTTTCATTTGACTGGTTGAGAAAACATTGCTTGAATTCCTCTCCAGCCTTTGCAGTGGCCTCATCTGATATGAACTCTTGAAGAGCTGCTATATATTCAGTCGTGGACAGATCAGGATTAATTGTCTTTTCAATCACATCCTCGAGAAGTTGGCAGCCGGAACCTGGGAGGAAAGCATGCAAAAGTGGGCTCAATTATGGAAATACAAACCCCTTTTGGAGCATAACGATGATGTTTGTCATTTTCTTACATCCCAGTAGAGACATGCATTCAGAAAGATTATGGTGAATGGTCTTGAGATCTCAATCCTAGGAGAGTAAACTCAGGATCTGGGTTTTCCTTTAAGCCCTAAAACATCTGCCCTCCCCCACCTTCCTGCCTCCATGACCCAGAGAAGCCCAACATTATATAACCATGATTGAGGAGGATGCCTGAGAAATGAGATGCTCTGACAGTGCAACATATTAAACCTTATCTGGTCTTTCTTTTTTCAGAGTCATGTGATGCTTCACTATTATCATTCAGAGCATCAAGTAGGATTTCCCAGAATTGTAGATGTGTTGGGTTTAGAATATTGTCTATTAGCTCTGTTGACACTAATGATTTTCTTTCTTTTTTTTTTTTTTAAAGATTTTATTTATTTATTTTTTCCCCCCAAAGCCCCAGTAGATAGTTGTATGTCATAGCTGCACATCCTTCTAGTTGCTGTATGTGGGACTCGGCCTCAGG